CACAAGGCTTTCAAGCTAACTTCTCAATAAGTTAAACTGGAGTATCGACAATATGTAGGAAGAGGAAGGCCAGTATGGTATACACTACGACGTATATTGAGTAATAAAGCATTAGGGAGCGGACGTGAAGGCGAGCAGCTTGCTTGTCGCTTCTTATTTAACCCGACTGATCCCAGAAGATTCTTTGTCTTATCAGATTGGATGCGCTATGGGCATTTATAGACAGGAAGCTTTCTAAAGCCTAATAGGCCTCGTGCGTCTTTTCTATAAACAAAAAGCTGTTTAAAAAAAATGTTTTTTAAAGGAGTTTTTAGAAATCTATGTATTGCGTTTGGTTTGATTCCAAAATAAGATTTGCGTTAGTTTTGCAACAGGCGTCCAGAAGGTAATTTTGCAAATTAATAACTTTTTAATTATTTAGACCAAAGAACCCTCCTTGGCGCCTTAAGCTTAAAGCAAAGACTTCAGGCTTCGCTTTAAGTTTGAGACGTAAGAAGAAAAATTCTAAATGCGAATAGTGAGATAGTGGCCAAGCATTGGTTCTGCGCCAAATATTTTTTCATTAATTTAACATGTTTAGTTGTTATCGAATGTGAACTTTTTCTAAGCATAGTATCAAGGACATGGTCCATTAGGAATTTGACATGAACGGGTCTTGTTGAATTGGCGTGCGGCATGGCAACCATACAAACAGCTAATAACCCAAACAATAATAATCTCTTAATATTGGTGGGGAACTTTAGCCGGCGCAGAAATTTTAACCAGCATAGCAGCATGCTCGTTATTCGCCGTGACGACGCATCCAAAGAGGTGCGCATTAGCCACCCACAGCACACTGGCCCTGCGCGACACACGACAGATATAATTCGCAAAAGCAAGAAGGCCGATGTGTTGTGTACATGTATAGGATTCGCTAGTCGTGGCCTTTTACACGTGTACAATAAGTGTCGAATAGAACAAATATGTAACGGCAAAGGCAGATAACTGGGGAAGTTTTAAACTTTTTGATGTATGAGAAAGCCGTAGAAATTCAATTAGCGAAATGCTAATGCGAAAAGAACCTTAAGAAATAAACTACTTACAAGTAAACGAATCTTTTAATCGCTTGGGTTCGGAGGATTAAAAAGAAAAAAAAAAAACTCATTGTGGCGTTTAAGCAAAAGATAAAAAATAACCACGTTATATAAAGCAAGACGGGACGTCGCTAAGCACCTTCCTATTTTCAAAGAAGCAATTAGCGTTTCTCTAGCTTAGTCAAATGCTACTGTAGCGTGTGCCTCGGGTAAAAATCCAAATATCGGAAGAGGAAAAACATGCGTACCCACCCCAATATTGTAGTTTACACGTAAACAATGGCATCAGATGTCGACGATTATATACACCGAAAAACTGTAATACTACATTACCCATGAGTATACATTCTGGGCTGGTGTATATATGAGTTTTGAATATCTTTTTTTATATCTTCACCGTTTATTTCCATATATTATAAGAAAGAATCTCTCTCAGATACTAAATAATCTGTTAATTGACCAAGAAGATAAATTATTCTCAAACATTTTGAATGCACCGAATTTTAGTGGAAATCACGCAGCCCGTTTGTGCTATAAACTGGGTAGAACGCATAAGCTGATAAAGCTCCTCATTGACCCTCAGAACCTCACCCGATATTAGACAATGCACAGCCATAAGGATACGTTTTTACAAAACGTTGCAACCGCTGACGGGCAATGGTTTCTTCACGTCGATACGAGGTAGAAAAGCGTCCGTAAATGCGGCAGGTACCCATAAACCTATGTCTAGAAGCGTCTTATCAAGTGCGAAATACTTCAGAAAAACATGCTCAATAAGCACATAGCCTAGTAAAAGTGATTAAACGCGACTGTTCAACAGAAGAGGCTCTTCACGACAGAGCCACGCATTGTCAGGCTGGGATTCAACAAAAGACGGCGTATTCTAATAAGAAGCCTCGGCGCCCCATAAACCAAGTAATAGAATACGGCTTTTCATTGCTTACGGCTGACAATTGCTACAAATTACGAGAAGTGGTGTTTCCACCTCAATATGGTGCAGAAAAAGGAATGGGTAGGTGTAAGAGTATGCCTGTGCTTAGAGTTAAGTTGGATTTTCGTCTGCACAAAACCATACGCTTGGTGGAACTTTTGAGAACATTGGGAAAATTGCGTATACTGGGAAATGCTTGAGAAAGATAAGACGGCAAACAAAGATCTGTGTATGAAGGTGTGTGGCTAGGTGCATTAAGTAAACCAGGCTATATCACATAAAAAAAACTCATAGACGAGGAAAAGTTATTCTTTTTTCTACAAGACAGTGTCAGGCTGTACTTGGAAAAGCCGTTCCGCAAAGGCGTGACTGAGTATAAAACTCCTTTGCACCCATGACATTCGTTAAACTTCGGACCAACGATTGCTGCTTTTTTAGACTCCTGTTGGTTGAATTCGTAACAGAAACTGCTACGAATTTGCTAGAAACTGGCGGGCCAAATGTTTCAATACCACGCAGATGAATATACAAGTCGATTAAAGAGTTAGAAAAGACCGTCAAAAATGATGACAAATACGTAATAAATTGTGTTACTAGATCTCAAGCGAGGCGCTACGCTTTTGTCAGACGAGAAAACTGCCATAAGGTTTTTTTAAGTGGAGCTCATAGCCATCTGTGAAGGCTATATGCGCATAAACTTTCGGCCAGGTTGATTAATGCAGCATCAATGAAAAATCGATTTTTTTTTCGATAATTGCCTATATTGTCCTATATTTTGATGCCAGCCTTGATCCTAATACTGAAAAATAGAAGACTTGCCTAAGTTTCACCTAAAAAGATGTTCTCAATATGATGGTATTTATCTCTAAAATCATTTAATTGATATATTTGTCATATCACCGGCTAAAACTTTTAGATTGACACTTGAAAAAAAATTGCCCCAAAAAGCACTCCAAAGGGTAGTTTGAAAATCATCACATAAACGAGACAAACTCTTCTATTGTTTTTCGACCATTTTTACCCGGAAGTGTCCATTTTAAGTGTAGGGACAGGAACTACATTCTTATTTAGCCCGTCTGCCTCTGTTGATTGGCCCTAAAAAACCTTTATTTTATAGAACGTTCGTCGTTCGAGGGCATTTTCAATATGAAAAGAGATTTGGGTATGCATACTTTGATTTAATTTGTCGAGAAATTTTAACTGATGCCAAAAATTGCCTAACCTACATAGAGATTCCATTCGAGTACCATGTAATCAATAGGAATACGTTTTCGATGAGAATTTGCAACAAAATATAGCTCACATCAGCCTTTACATCTATAAGAGATTCCAGTGGAAAGAGCGTAAAATACTACGTGAGCAAACATTGCCCACAATCGATTCGTTCAAATTAACACACCGTCTATTGGAGAAAACGCCTCTAGAAAAAAGTATTGATCCAACTGGTTTCATCCTGCTGTATTCGGCAACTCTAACGACTTGCCAAAAATCAGCTCGACCCAATTACCTTAAGAGGTCGGTTTACCCCCGACAAACCAACAAATAGGTTGATACAGAGTTTTAAAAGTATACTTAGATGGACATGCAGGCTTAGTCCCGCATCTCTCTGATTTAATTAACTTGATCCACTGATGTTATTTACAGTCATTGCGTTACACTCTGGCTCACCTGACCTGTAACGCTTTTGCAGTTATTAGATCAGTCTGTTAGTATATTTATTTGGGTATCTCTCAACTCTAGATTTGTCCGGTTTGTGATGATTTTTGCAACGTTCTGACAGTCGGCCTCTGGTCGGCCTATCTCTGAGGAACGTAGATTAACGGAGTCGACTTTTAAACGACTTTTAATGGATGTTGCTATTGGTAAAACCGGCTAATCTATTCTGTTTCCGGGACCAAGCCACTGAGGGTTACGGTTTTTTTTCTATCTCTTCTTTTTATTAGGTAGCTGTACATATTGAATTAAAAGAAGATATAATGAATAGTTCATGATGATTTGGTATGGTTTGGCTGGTATGTCAATTTGTTTTTGGGGCATCACAAAAACGTGACGTTTTTCAAATTTAGTTTTATTTTTTTGACAATTTGGCATTTTTCTCTAAAAGTCAATTAAGGAAAATCAACTCTACATTTGTTGAATTACCTTTCTAATTGACATTTATTAAACATTCGCTCCAATGACCACTCAAAACGTACGCAAAGCGAAAATAAGGTTTTCGCAGTTTTGACTTAAAAATACAAATTTTAGGTATGGGCCTATGTCTTGTTATTCAGCTCGTCGAAATCAACCGCTTGGTGACAAAAACATTTCTTCTCCAGAAAAAGCCATGTCAGGTTCTACCTCTTCAAACGATATCTTCGAGCCAAAAACTTGAAGTAAGGCTTATTAAGATGTCATGCATATCCGTTTAACTGATCAAAAGCTTTCCGTTGGTGCTAGGAAATACTCCTTGTGCGTAAACTTGTATGTAAAAAAAAGTTCAACTCAGTCTCGCCTAAGCGTATAAGCCATTACATTCGATTTTTGGCCCTTTTTAGGCTGAAATATTAATTTTAGCTATAGAGATATGTATCGCATTCTATATAGCTTGTCGATCGTTAGGAATCGGTATCAACAAATTATCCACGTTAGGTATAGGGAGGTATACTGCACTTTCATCAAGCTTGAAAAATCTATCAAACGTCAAGTAGAATCCCTTATATAGAGCACAATGATAGGTTTTGGCTTTTGTGGGACTCCAAATCAAAAACTAAGATTTGGGCATAAGAGTATGTATTTTTTTGATCCAGCTCGATAAGAGCTTTCGATTGGTATTGGGAACAACTTACACTATGTAGAGCTACCTGTAAACACTCAGTCACCATTTTGACCGTAAAGAACATTTATATATAAATTCAACCAAAATATAGTCTACCTTGACCCGTATAACTTTCCCACATACATACATAGGGATTACTGTACAAATTGACGAGACGAAACCCTCGATTGTTTTTTCAACCGTCTGCACGCCAAAACATCAATTTTAGGTATGGAAACGTGTACTGCATTTTTATTTAGTTCATTAACATTTATCGATTGGCCTCAAGGAAGCCCCCTTTCATGGAACTCCATGTTAAGTTGTCACCTCTCGGCGCATTTTCAACATGAAAGAGATCCGGGTATAAGGTAAAATATTCTTTTTAGTATCAAGAATTAGACATTCTACACAGGCATCCAGCTACTACTCGTATAGTAAAAAATTTACTTTCAACAAAAATTCCCTCAAAACACCGCCTTTCTCGTAGACATCTATAACAATTCCTGCAAAAAAATGTAAAAAACCATTTTGCGAAGGTTTATATCGCAAAAACTATTAACTTGCCCACACTAGGATTAAGCTCTATAGGATGAATAAAACAAGCACCTCCGCAGAAAATTATTCGTCTAATCAGCTCTTCTTACACGCAGCTGTACCCATGATCGTACTCCAGTGATGCACCAGATCAGTCCAAACCCACGATTTTAATAGGTTGGTTTGGGTCAGATAGACAACCAAAAAGGCACGTGTGTAAATGTATACAGATAGATTGGAAGGGCTCGCAGGCTTTAGCCCGCGCCTGTTTTGTGTTGACTGCTCCAACTAATCCGATTTAGGTGATATCTAAGCTAAAGGGCGAGTTAACATTAATAATTTTCTTGTCTGTAGTCACTTTCGTAGTTTGTTGTGTGTTCGTCAAGGCTCAACCAACTCTCAACCAAAAATCTTCCTTGTGATATGTTGCCTTTCGATACAATTCAGTGATTACAGGTTTTTTTAGTGTCAGCTAATTTACTCTGCTTCCGGAACGTACGTGAATAGGGTTGGCCGACCTCTGAGAAACGTACTAAATTTAGCCGACTTGTACGAGATGTTATTAGATTAATCTATTGATTTCATTCCTGGGACATCACCGAGGCTTACGGATTTTTCTATAGAAAATAATAACATAGACATAAAATTAAGATTCACTCTGTTCTTCTCACCAAACCATAAATGCTTCTAATCGTTTTTTATTAGTAGTTACAGATTCGTTTTGAAATTCGTTAATCAAGTCATAATGTGGATATATATTTAATCCTACGAATACCTTTTGTTTTATACATTGATTATCAAACCACCACCAAGATACTACAAGGGTTTTTGTTTTTGCTTTTTTGACAATAGGTAGCTGTATACGCTAACCTAGAATATGTTTCGATTGATGTATTGACTCTAAGGCGTTACGAAGGCTTAAGCACATTTTCACTTTTTAAAATTTTTCTTGTTTATAAAAATTTACATATATCCGTTTGACACTTTCCAAAAATTGAAACAAGAAAATTTCTACGAAAATAAATTTTCTAAATTCGCCGCTTAAGCTATCCGATTGTTATTTGTTAGGAATTCGGTCAAGGAACGACCCGAAACGCATTTTCGCCCCACCGTTAGATATGCAAACCAGCACAACCAATAGAGTTTTTGCACTTTTCACTGAACAATGTAAATTTTTGATACAGGTCTATCGACTCTCGTCTAGATCTATCGACTGACGTCAAAATAAATCCTTACATATAACGCCATACGAAGTTTTTACCTTTCAAATGACATTGTCAACCCAAAAACTGAAATTTAGGTGTATGAACATGTATTGTGCTCCGATTCAGCTCATCGTTTGCTTTGGTACCTAAGATTACTTCCCGTATATAGAATTCCACGTGAAAAATTTTAATCTCAGTGTCATTCAAACTAAAAAACTTCTGCATTCGGTTTTAGCCTTTTTACGCCGAAATACCAACTTTAACTAGAGGAAATGGGTGAACCGAATCTCGAAACGGTTTTCGACCGTTTCATACCAAAATTTCTTAATACCGCTTTTTCTAGAATAATCGAGAGGACACATTTTGCTATGCCATATGTACAAATCCGTAAGCATTAAGAGAGAAAGTACGCTGAGAAAGTTAAGAAGGCATGTTTCCTTGCATTCCCCCATCTTTCTGACCTCAGCCTGCTCGCAGTTTCAATCTTTGTTTCGTTATTTTGCGTCCTCCGTTGGACAAGAACTGAAAAACGCCTCGGACGCACTTCGCGAACACTTCCATGGTCTTAATACCACCTTGCGTCATCGCCAACACCATTGATTAATCTGATGCATAACGTTGCATTCTATGTTACCAGTCATTGTAGCACAGCAATGATGAAATGGCAAAAATGTATTATATGCCTATAGTAAACCTAGGAAATACGAACTGTCACTTGAGGTTTCAAAATCGAGCCGCGATGAATGCATTATTTCACGTTGGGAGTGGCTGCTCGTCTGTACATATATATTTATCATTCACGTGTTTGCTAGTAGCTGCGTCTCTCACAACGCCGTGTGCGTGAATGGCATTGAGTCTGACGTTTGATGTTACAACATCTCTCGGTTAATTACCTCCCTAACGACAGCGCGCTACAACGGCCTCCTCCTCCAACGGCCCTGGCACCTTTGAACGCCTGCTCACTGTAGCAATGCGTCACTGACGTTTCCCTTCGTGAAAATTTTACTGTTTGGATTATTTATTATAGGTGATATCTTATGCTTTATAGCAGCTTTCTCCTTCAGTTTTATTCGGACGCGGACTCCTTTTCTACCACCAAACTGTAATGGAACACACCGTTAGTTAAAAATTGACAATGAGCTGCTTATTGTTAACGAAATGTTATATATACATGTACACGAAGCTCTCATAAACATAAATGGGAAATTATCTCATAATTACTGCAGCTCTACACCATCACTGCTTCCCTTGCCAAAAATCTTGGTCTCGCTTTGGATTTCTCTTTTTCCCAAAATGCCCCATAACATTTCTTCAGCGGGATAGGCCAGTAGGGCTGGTTGCCCTCTTATCCCGAAAGGCATGGAAATATGAACTGGCGACGTCTGTCATCGTTTTCGGTACTGTATTCACCGCAAAACAAAATTAGCTGACTGCAGTCTGAATGAGATTCACACTATCTATGCGTTTACTCACCATCTTTATAACATTTCGTTAATTATTGTTCTAGAACTACAATCATGCCTCTCAAGCTTGCTTCCACCAGCTAAGGCAACACCTACCAGGAAACACTCGGTTCGAAGTTAACACCGAATGAAAGTTCGGTAACAGCAAGTTGCCCGAGCAATCATGAGACAGAGTTTCTCAAATCACGCGCGCGTGGCAATTAAGGGTTCACTAGATGTACGATTCGATGAACAACTTATGCGAATTCAAGAGGTGAAGTGCGACGCAACATTCCAGTTCAAACTTGTTGACGTGCAACTTAACGAAGAGTAACAAGCGATGTTAGCATCTCAGAATTTACAATAATTAATAACAATGTTGCTTTATTTACGAGTTGTGTGTATGACGAGTTATGGGGAAAGGTATGGTGATATGGGAGAAAAACTATGTGAACCACTCATTGTTTCTAGCGAAGGAATGTTATAATCCCGAACTTTGTTATTTTTTAAAATACACACAGGTCGAAAACTTTCCATTTTTCGCTCTTCGACTAAACTCTAAATACTAGTAGAGTAATATATGACAGCTGATAAAATTTTTTTGCGTTTGATCGAATTTGTTCTGAATAGTAAACAGCAACAGTCAGCTCGTTCTTCTATCATTTGTTCTAATACTACATCTTCAAAGGTAGATTGCAAGATCATATGTGGAACCTGCTTGTCAGTACCACTGAAGTACTCTGTTCTGGCACTAGTTATTCTATTATATGTCTATGTTGTCATATAATTTCTTTTAACAGAAATTTTGACGAACCTATTAGTGACATTATTCGTACACAGCATTATTGTCAGCACAAATACCACATTACGGATAACATTACGATCGTCGATCAGAATTTACGACGGGCCATTATCTATGCCCAACTATGTATACCCAGCGTATTTAAAGTAGCACAGTTGTTTCTGTCTCACCTCATTTCTTGAACAGAACGCTAATCGTAGACGTACCAGTACCTAGGCTGCCATAGGAAGTGCGGCTCCAACTGCGCAGCCGCACTTCCTTGGAGCCGCACTTCCTATGGCAGTCTTGCCTCGCACGACATATCTAACCTGGCAGTGAACGGTTTTAAAATACTGTCTTCTCTTGCCTTTATCGCAGTCCAATTTTTACTTCCTTTAGCTTTGTTGAATGAACACCTTCTTTATACGAAATTATTAAGGGCATGGGCGCCTTCAATTAGTATTTTCGAAAGAATAGGAGCCATATAATGAAGGGTTTTTTTACGAATATACTAGTAGGATTATTTTTTCCACCGTAACACCGTTTATTTTCAACGACGAAGCAACACCTCGAAAAAGGTACGCAGAAACAGAAAAGCAAGTGTAATTTTTTTGTCAACATTACATCAAAGTTGACTGTTGCTAGTAGCGCTATGGATCGAGGAGTTCCTTGAGCCTTGAGCATCTCATTTACTATAAAACAACCAGCAGTACGAGGTCGCAGATTTGTCTCCTGCCGGCCAAAAACCGTTTTCTATTGCAAAGACTGAAATCTGTCCGTACCGGAAACGACACGTGAGTGTTCAGTAGGCTAATATCAAGGGCAGCTTACAGACGGTGAGTTAACAAGTGAAAAATAATGTTGAGTCTCTAGTGAGCACACTTTTGTGAGTTCGGTGCCGTATACATTTCACTTAACTAGCACTTCGTAGCAGTCAACTGTTTATAGTATACTGCTAGGATAGCCACTGATCATCAGTGATAATATCATAAATACTGCCATTTGTTTGGATACTGTGATTATCTAATTCATTCATTTTTACTTAGTAATCTAATAGGCTTTTATAGTTATTTACTATGGCTAGCATTTATTATAATAAGTGCTGTAAACTTCACACATTACAATATAGAGATATTGTCCGCGAACCGCCTCCTATCAAACCAGTAGCCACTAGAAGCGTTTCTTTATACATTGTTAAATCGTCTTAAATTCAACAGGTATTTGAATCCGAATAAATGATATTTCAAATACAAAACGTCGTAGCGATTTAGAAGTCTATGCCAAATCGACCAACATTCTTAATGAAATGCCACCGTACTCATATCGTCATACCCTGTCCTCTACAGTGCCACAATAGTTATATGCCCTTCACTGGTTCTAATTTTGACCGCGTCTAATTGGTTGCCGCTGCGCCGATGGATAAACCAACTACTAATTGATTATAAGACATCACTTGACACTCGCGCGAACACACAATCCCATTCGTTCATAGTTGAAATTACGACGATCTATAGCGATTCTCTCAGTCTATTCTCCTGAAGTTGATGGACTTCGACACGAGGCGCTGACTGATTGTTACTTCTGTACACTGCAATCAATAACCGAGCTAGCATAGGGACACTAAACAGTAGTCGTTTTAGTATAGAATACTTATATTCATGACTTAATACTACCGAGTAGATTCCTTCCCACCTAACTCTTCATCGAAGTCAGACTTTCCTCTAAGCTTCTTATACTGAATGCGATGTTCTTCCTTTGCCATGTGCTCACGAGCATCACGGCGGTTTCCGAAAACCTGCAGCGCGAAAATCACAACGGTTAGCTAGAAATTAAAAATGTTTAGCTTTAGTGGGGCATCGATATTAGTGGGTAAAAAATGCTTCGATTTGAATACAAAAAACTAGAAAATAAGAACCTTCGAAATCAGTCATGTAAACAATACCCACTGATTTTCTTTGTGTACGCTATTACTTGCGGCCTGCAAACAATGAGCTGTTACAATAAATTGCATTTTTCTTCTTAAAGAGTAGCAGGCAATAAACTCCTCTCTGTATACGATCTTTTTCAAAAAGCGTGACCTTTAACGTTACATCACATCTTACATGTACAAGCAATAACCATGCTGTCTTCGAGACATTAGAGTTAGAAAAATTGGTACTACATGGAGACATGCAAGTGCGGCCTGCAGTCCACAAGACGTCCAGCCATAGAAGACACAATAATAGAAGTCTAGGAGAGTCGCGTAACCCTTCGAGCTTTAAAGGCTACGCAGCTGACTACACGAGGCTTGCGTAAAATGTTTTAAATCATGTATGAAGATTTCTGAGTGCGTGTATTTCTGTGACTCATCGCATAAGTTTTACAACACTGTAGCATTGCCTTGCAATCCTTTAATTAGTGTCAGCAAAGTGCATAAATCAAATTTAATTTGACCTTGATGGCAGCTACGAAGCCCATGCCCAGTCACACCTGAAAAATCAACCAAAGTACTAGACTTCTCAAAAACAGATCCAGTCGATCCCAGCTCATTGCTAGAGAATATGTGATAACAAGAGTAACGCAGAATCTTTTGGACTGGGTCTTGTACTTTATATTTTACAGAATTAATAAAAACAAAAAAAAGAACAGGACGTCTCTGGGGACAGGTAAAATACCTAAAATGACATTGCTAGTTTTAGTGAACGAGCTGTTGAAATTTCGAAAGGGTCTTGTGACGAAACCGGCTCCAATACCCATTAAAGTCAGGGTGATCTGTTTTGCGCTTTGTCTTTTTACGCGGCATTGCCTTAAAGGTATCCCTAAGCTCTGCGTCCACTACCTATTATGATGTCAACAGTGATGTCAATATCATTGACAACGAAAGTAACTTTGGAATTTATGTTGAGGCATTCGACGGTCGGGCAGTGAGACGGGCGAACTGTCGAGAACAAATGAAGCTTTGGTCCTGAATAATACCAGAGTAAAGCCAATATTTTACAGCTTTCGGCTCCTTTTCTATCCATTCGCTTACCAACTTATAGTGGAATGATCCGAGCCTAATTACATCCATTGGAAGCGCGAACTACTCGGACAAGTACACATTATAATACAGAATGATAAAACGCAGAAATCATCAACAATGCCAATGGTACCAAATTATAGAGCCAAGTACCGTATGGTCGAACAGTGTTAATTGTGAGATATTACGTTTTGGATATGAATACATGTCTTTATAAGGTTTTGACTTACCAGGTAATGGATCTATTACGCTCAACAAAGGCGGACCGTTATCATGTATGAAACAATAGAAAGAAACACTACGGCGCTTTCTGTCTTTTTCAAATACCACCAGAGCTATGTTCGTAACTGCGCTAATGATACATCTGCTCTACGCAGGCTGCGGCAAATGAGCTTTTTTTATTGAGTATTTTGTTACTTCGCTTCAAATCCTGCGACGCCTAAAAGGAATAACGATTTTAAGAGGCTTACACATAGGAACTTCGAACCTAACTGAGGCAGCCGCTGTATCACTGGGTAACCTTGAAGCAGGGACCTTTGGCTTTGTCGGGCAGAAAAATTTGGCCGTCCAAGCTGCCGCACTGATAGCAGCTAACCCTAGCTTTTAGACTGGCAATTATTGTTTTAGGGCAGAGCGTGGCAATGTATGGCAAATCGTACCACACGTGTTGAAATCTATTCGTGTTCAGTATACGCATATATACATAAATGAAAGAAAAATTACCTTTATACATATAGGGCACATCAGGATTTGTATTTGATCGACCCCTTTTGCTGCTTCCATGAAATCATGTGTCTGTGTAAGCAACTCAAACATCTGTTTGGTTCTTATCGGAACTGCGCAGTGAGGTCGGAACAATGCTTGTCGTCGACTAGAGTGATCCTGTTAGAGAAAATTGCTATTATTTTAGCTATTCAATAGATATTGTACGTGAAACCTGAGTAATTTTAACGCGGATTCAGTAATATATACATACAATTTATCTACTATGGGTTATCGCAGTAAATATCTGGTTGCTTGCAAATTCGTTATTATCCACAAATACCCAGATTTCTCCAAATCTATCATCAGCCATTACTACCCATACGGTAATATCGGGAAATTCAAGCACTAAAGGATATGAAATCTAGAAACTATGCATTTCTTTATACGTACCTGCGCATCGTATCTTTTGAAAGCCTTGCTCCATTGGAACCGATATTCTGGTTCATTCTTAAGATCTGGAGTTAGACATTGTCTATTCTTGTTGTTGATGAATTTTAATATTTCTTGGACTAGTTTATCCTGTATGCGAAGAATAGGCAGTGAAGACCATTCAAGAAACTGGTTGTTTCCACAGAATGCCTCGTTAAGCAGACTGCGTATGCGATTAATAATTTTGACATCGGTACGACCGAGTTCGTGCGAGAAGGGCACATCAATGTCGCTCTCAGGACAAACAGACTCCACGATTCCATCTTCGTTCTCTACCGCCCCAAGGCCACAAATAGCCCGAATATACGCTGTTTGGTTATCACTGCAGCGGTATTCCGCTCTAGGTGAGAACACAAGTGCTACAAACGGCAGCATCATATTTAGCTTCGGCATCAATGTTGTCCTAAGAAGTTGGAGACGTTTATCACTAGACAGCCGTTCACTGTGAGCAACAATAAAACGTCGTTGTACACCAATTTCGCCAAACATCACTTGATTGACACTCTGTTCATTGACGTATATATCTTTAACGTGATGATTTCTTTTAAGTGTATCAAGACTGCAAGATTTAGCAAGGGGGGAGCAAGGAGATCCAATAATCTCAATGTCAGAACTGCATTGATTTGGATCTGTGTAAACTTCGCCTTTTATAACACAGCAGTCCGAGTTAGCAAAATTTACGCCATGGTCTTCGAGTTCATGGATCTGGGACGAAATCTGAGGTTCGTCAAGAAAAACAGCAATTCGATCGTAGCGTAGTTGTTCGTTAATATGAATTTCTTCATCGCTCTCAACGAAAATGTCAACACGGAATACATTGTCTACTATTGAGTAAAGTTCGACACGACACGGCTTATTGATCAGTAGCTTTTGAAATCCCGTAGGTTTTACTGGCTTTCCATCGAGCGAATGAACGTTCGCTAACTGAAATTCATAAGCGAATGGTGCTTCATGGCTGCATAGAAGCATCGATAGCGGCAGTACGTACACTTGGTTTATCCCCACCTTTGATGTATTACCGTAGTCAATAAAAAATACGGTGATTCCGTCTGAAGAAATAGTAACGATTCGACTCCGAAACAAGATACCTTGATAAGCAGCTAACACAATCATTCCTACTTGGGGTTTAGTTACAACGGTGGGTGAGGCTTTTCTCGTGCCAAACTCATTATGAATCTCTGTTACTATATCTTTGAGCTGCTTCATGCGTTCTTCTAGTTGAAGATATCCTTGAAAAGCGTTTTCTTCATTCCACCATGATATTGTCCCTTTGAAATGGCTTTTTAAAGGCCACGAAGCCTTTTGTAACCTCGGTAGCTGTTCTACCTCTCGAGACACAACGACTACCCCTACGTCATTAGATTGACCCGATTTGTCATCCATTGGTCTCCCAACTTGATTTAGGAGGCGTTTTGCCTCCGGTTCGTGAATTCGTGGCAACTCTAATCTTCTGTGTAGTAGATAATATTTTTGACACAAATACATGCTACGGGGTACTTGATTAATATCATGGTTCTTGAATAATAAATAGACATCCGAACCCTGAAAGACAATTTAGCAAGTACATGTGGTTACTACTTATATACACCTATATTTGTGTAACAGGCAAGGACCCACCCTAACATAAAAGACGTCTACTGAGGAACCTAACCTAAAGAATCGTGTCCTGGTTATAATTTTGTCACACTCGTACATATAGGTAGACTGTTCAGTGAGATAAACAATAGACTGGAACACCAATCAACGTTACAAGCCTAAAAACCTCTTCGTTGAAATGTATTATCTTCTTCTCTGATGAAAATTATGAAGAAGTTCGAATTGGCTGTATTTCAGTCGTAGGTCGTAGCGTAGGCTCTCACCAATTAGCCCTCTAAAAACAAGAACCAGCATAAAATAGCTTAAAAGTTATTTATATTTAAAATTCGCACATTTAAACCCCTAGGATACTTAAGAATGTTATTCAAAGGCCATAACTTTCAGTCAGTTCTATAGTAAATTAGAGTTAGAAAGCTAATTTCTATCGCCGTCGGCTTAATGAAAATCGCATATCTATTACCGACCCGAAGTAAAAATTTATATCCTTTGCACCTTTTGTTTGGGTACATGAACTTCAAGTTACTCTCACACACTTGTTTTAGCCCTTCTCCGACATTAGGAAAACTGTAGGTCAGCGCATTTATGACTTCCAAGCGAATTCTTCATTGTGGAAGTTCTCCTCTTTTGCTTCGCTATCTGAACTTGAAGGCGCAATTTTACAAAACTGCCTTATTGCACGACGTTTGCACTCGTCGTCCATGTTAGTGTCCTATAACTCTTTGATTAGTCCTCTCTGTTATATTACCATCGTCTTTGTCGATTTAACGCGTTACCGTTTAGCGACCATTGCGCTGTTTTCACGCACGATACCATGCATCTGCACTTCATGCGCCATCCGTCTCTACCCACGCCCGCATTCTGTTGGAGGTGGCTTGGAGCCTAGACCACGTAACATGCTCCTATGTTTAAGGTTAATCTAGGAGATACTCCTTAATAGAATTAGAGTAATAGCCGAGTACCTTCAGGGCAAAGTCTTAGTTTAGGCGAGCCGAGTGTCAGCCCTAGACGACTGAACTTACCTCGGCCAAAGGACCTATTTACTAATTCTCATTTCCTTAGCTTATTCCAATACTGAACATGAACCCAGCTCTTTATTCAACAGTACAACGGGTCCAAAACATTTTAGGAAGGCATCAACTGCTCAAAAAAGGAACGGGTGGGTAGAGAAAAATACGCACGGGGTCCCATAGTAGAATAAATTGTTCTGCTAAATTAATCTCCGATACGAAAAGTGAGTAATAGTAAATCATGAATAGAAAAATACGATGCAGTTTTTTATTCTCGAATCCATTGTATAGAATAAAAACTCTTCTAACAATCCATAATTAATACCTAAGCAAAAGCAGTAAGATACATTTTGCTGTTGCGTAATATATTGTGGTCCACATATAAACAGATGCGTACGCACTAGTTCACTTATCATACATATCGAAAATATGATTCAAAAATAATTAAAAGAAGACTAAAGTTAAATATCCTGCGCAGTAGGAAGTGTAAAGGTTTTAAACTATAGTGCTCACTAAATGTTTGTAGTAACAGAGAAAAGTGTGCCCTTCGGGTTTCTAAAAACTGCAGTGAAAATCTGTTCGTCAAAAGTTACTTGACCAAGTCACTGCAAGAAAGCACAATGGTTACGTACATGCAGTTAAATTTATAAAATTGACTCCTGTTTTGTTCTTAAAGAAGGCCGAATCAAATGTCTACACATACATCAGCAGCCTTCTAAAATAATAAGCAACAATTTCGAGAGTCAACAGCGTGTGATCTTACACATTCTAGAAAAACATTTACACCCTGAGCTTTATTCCGCATATGGGCTTCGTAAAATTAATATCGTTTGAAGTTTAAAAGAATACTTCCAAAAACTATGGAAGTCAGTTTGAATATTATTATTTATTTCGATCCATAGTGCCCATACTAAGACGATACCAAAATAATTTTTTTCCTAAAACTGTACGTTACTAAAACGTTTTTTCATTCAATATTAACGTGCGCAGGCAAGCATACGTTGCACAATGATGTGCCGGGAAGTGTCGCTGCTTTAGGGACACGGTCTCTTGATAAATGAAGACCATTAAGACTTGCTGTCCTGTCTATCAACAGAATATATATATATATATATATATATATATATATATATATATATATATATACTGTACTCAAATCGCCGTTCTTAAAACGTTAGCACGATTAAGATACTGTGCTTTCACTTAAAGCCTCTTTACCTAATGTCTTTCCTTGTCGAATTTCTGTAGCGCTGTCGCTTTCGAGGGATAAGAACCTGGCTACTAAATGCTGATTTTCGAGACAAAAATGTTTTTCTTTCTGAACTAATTTTTTTCTGGAATAAACTCAACTAGTTTCCACTCACATAATTCTAGAAGACTGGAATACTCAACAGTCAAACAGTTTCAACTAACGGCCTATAGTTTAAATGTTATGCAGTTTCAAAATACGCCGGACTCGCTTGTAAGAGGTGATTACTTTGGTGGTATTTCTTCTACGATACTGGATCTAGCTGCGCACCGCGCTGTTCATGAAGTCAAATAGAGAAAAGTCTTTTGTGTTACTTTCAATGGTAAGACCCAAAGTATACATTTTTCGATTAGCTCGTTCATTTGTTTGTTGGAACATAACTCTACTTATTTAAAGAATAAAAAAAAGTCGGGTATTTTCATAACTGATAATGCTCGCCAGAATTTCACAAATAAGAGTATAACTTTGTAGATGACAAATTTCAAGGATATCTTATACTGGACGCCGAGCAGCATTGCTTTGCCAGCGGCCATAATAAAGGTACTCACTGGAGCGACAAAATCGATGACACACCGTTACAACTTACTTGAAACGAAAAGCAAAGTTTTTATAAAAATCAAACGGAGTATTCTAGGGCCAAGATAATACTTTATCCGCTATCAGATAAGACATTCAAAATGGCGCTGATGCAACAAATTCGAAAGATTATGTCAGGTTTAGTGCTTCGTATCTCTAATTGCTCTTAACTCCTCCTATGTACAGTCTTACAATTTTCAGTGAATCGAGTGTAGTATTAAGGAGTGACCAACTGCAGTAAGGAATGTTTAAGAATTAATATTTTGAGTCTTAAGGATATTAAATAGAATAAATTAAAGATTTGTTTTTATTTCTCTATATTGTATATATATCTATATATAAACCTATGGTGTTGCGTAATGTGAGGGCTTTCACTACGAAGGCCGGTATAGAACTGATGAAAACTCCTAGTAGCAAAGTATAATAATAGCACATTTGGGGTCTAAAGAAGATTTGCACAGCATTTCCTAATCGTGATCTGTTTTTTTTGACCACGGTGTGCTTTATGCACATTAAAAATTTATTTACCAGAGTAGTTTTTTCTACTTTGTAACTGTTGAGCTTTCAACCACGTGTTTATAGTCAAATTTTTTTGAACACTATGCATTTATAGAGATTTCTCTAGTCAAAGTCGACCCTCTAAAGTTGCCTTTGCGGTAGATCAAAGATAGTTTCATTAGTTGCGGCTCAAAATAAGCTTTCCGGAGCAGCTTGGTTTATTAAAATCAACACAAAATTTCGAATAATATAGATAATTAGTAAAATTTTTAGATATCACGTAAGTTCAAGCGAGCAAACTTTAAAGGTACATAACACTCCAATCTCATCTTTTGGAGACACAAATAAACAAGGGCCCTTGTTATCAAACGTATTATCAACAACCTGAACCATCTGACCGTTTTTATCACACCATGTAATTATACGGCGATGTCGTTGTATAAAGGCAAATACACAAAATATGCTGTCAAGCCTTGGTTAAGCTTCTATCGAGTTGGCAACTTTTTAAACATTTTATTCTAACATTAACATGAAAACTAAAACATACCTTGAAATGGAATTCAACTTCATCGTCATTAAGGCAATCTTGTAGCCTTATGCGTATTGCCTGGCAATACAGCTGCCCGTATTCAGGTGCCATGTTTCTGATAACCATTGTCGTTGATGGATTATTAAAACCTTGAGAGAAATCATACAAGAAATATATTTAAAAAATCACTGCTTCTTATTAGTGATTACATCTACGGACTGGAGAAATTTTGAACACAAGAAAATATAAATACATGAGTGTAGGACAATTTAATGTAACACAGAGCTTTGACTTAAACGCATCAATAGAAAAGATTCATTACAGATTTATATCGCTGTCAATTCAGACATCATTTATGAGTACAACTAAATATAGCATAAATACTATATAATAAATAAATATGGCATATAAACTGTTTGAGATAATTAATGTAACATATTTTTTGGCCCTAACGTATATCATAAAGTTTTCAATGGTTTATTAATGAAAATTTTACGTTGGCAGCAAGGAGATAGCCGAGTTAGTCGTTTGATAATGCAGGATGAAAGAGTAACTATGCTTATATATAGTTACTTAAAAGTCGTTACTTAAAATTACGCTAAGGATTATGAGAATTAAATTTTCGAAAATCGGTACAAATCGATTCCAACATCAAGTTTTACGTATACTTACCTACTTCAGAGAGAACCTTATCGCTGTCGATGTCCTTTTGAACGTAGTAATGAGGATAGAAAGCTCCGCATAGTGCAGTCATTATTAAGAAGTTATGCGTCGATGATTCTCGTGGTTTTCGGTTAGGTCCCTGTGGCTTCGAAAATCCTATTCGCAGTAGACGTTCCTTAAGTTCTTCATAGAGAGCAAATGCTTCAGCTAATCGACGCGCTTCTAGACCTCTTTTTCTGGCCCATTCCTTGGACGCATAGGTACCAAATGCTGGACCTGACGATTCTTTATATGTAAGATACTCATCGAACACGTTCAACAACAACAGGGGATCAGAATAGTGACCCTCGGCCCAGTCTAGCTTACCCTTATACCTTTCCATTGGGTCATCCACCGGTGTTAGCAAATCATCCACGCTCATACAGGCTGCCATCTTCACACATTCTTCGAAGCAATCAAAAGCAAAACCCATAAGAATAAGTTTAGATAACCGTACGTCTAACGGTAAACTTGCCATAACTCTTCCCATAATGGTTAAGTCGCCATCGTCCAGATCAACCTTCCCCTCGTGTTCCAATTGAAGCGCCTGCACTTCTTTGAGCTTAATAATTGCCCGCCCGACATCCTCACTTCTCGGTGGACTAATGAAACCTGCCAAAACCTGTTTTGGTTTATTCAAACCAAATTTCTTTATCTTCAGAACTGTGATATCAACAGGACTGCGAAGAATCTCTGGTTCGGAGAACTCGGGTAACATTTCGTAATCGTGCCGAGAAAGAAGACGATATACCACACCGTTTTGGACTCGACCAGCCCGGCCAGCGCGTTGATCACAGCTCGCACGGGAGCAGAATTCTACTTGATAGGAGGCAAAGCCGGAATTTCGGTCAACAACCTGATTTTTCGTTAGACAAAAATCTATTACGTAACGAATATCCGGCACAGTGATTGAACTTTCAGCAATATTTGTGGCCACAATTACCTTACGTTTGCCAGCTGGTGCTTCCTGAAATATTCGGTTCTGATTATCGAGAGGTGCCTTGCTGTGAAGAGCAATTAGCAACAATAGTCTGTTCTCCCTTGTTTCATCAAAGCATTTGATCATAGCTTTGATGTCCGATACACCCGGCAGGAATATTAGTACTGCACCTCTGTTCGATGTTCCTTCAGCATCCTCACTAGCGTTCAATGAGGATATTAATTGGGTTACCGCCCTAAATTGGGCGCGACTTGCACCTGGCTTAATATATTCCTTTGACGAATCGCCCGATTCATTGCGAAGTTTATCAACTACTATCAGCGGCCGCAATTCCTGGCTGAGTTTAGGCGGAAGGTCATCCAAATATATTTTTTGCACTCTGTGCACTTCACCTATAGGGAAATACATAAACGATACCGGTAATTGTATATGGTTATTCGAAATTCCAACCAGTTTGAAAACGTGTGAATACTTATTAACAAAATGCTTCCATTCGATTCAGTATCAAAGTGTATAATCCTGCCGTTTCGGAAAACCAAAAACAAATCGAGGGTCCCTAGACGTCTACCGCTACAGAGTTGAGTCACTAGACAATAACGCCAATTGGTAAAAATGTTTTGATGATTTTACTAGCGTTAAAATAAGTGCATTCCTGCAAGCGAGTGAAGAAATGATGATGAATGAATAACGCTGAGTGCTGAAATTATTTCTCTTAAGAGCTTCGCCTAGTATAGTCGTTCATCATCTAAGCATAGGTTAACCTCTAATCTAAAAATATATAAAAATAATATAATTCATAAGTGAAAGTAATGTAAAGGTTAACGGTGGGGTTCGCAAGCGGGTACGGATCGCCACTAATAACTGAATGTGTTTTGTGTTTAGCTGGTCTTTGAAGTGATCGAGCGACTGTGGCTATAGCGACCATTATTTATAAAAGTATTGCCATGACCCTTAAGTAAATCCAATAGATTAATTTCAATTCTTCGGAATCCCTAGCAAGATGTGCGCCTATTTGATTCTTTGGAAAATAAAGTTTACGTTCTCACAGCTCGGTATCAACTTTGTATTTAGGCAACGTTTGAGGTAAGAGCAAATATTTTCGTACTAAAGCCTTGTGAAGTAAAATGCTGCCGGCCTTACATCTAAAAAAAAAGGAGATAAAATTCTGACTACAAGCTTCCAATAGATAATGCGTGCTCCGTTTTCATTGATCACCTTCACTCGATTCATGTCAGCGACTTCTTTCTGCCATTTTCACTAACTACTACGCTCAACACTGCCCTGTTTCGAACTGCCCCATACGTCTGAGGTAACTCAAAACAAAACTGTTCTTTTATATCTGCCCAAATCTGTTTTCCTAAATGTGAAGACAGTTTTTATGAAATGCCTGTCGCCAAATTTTCAAGAGTAGAGAGTATACATCGCTCGAGGTCCTCATGACCCATATAATTTATATACCTACACATTGGTTAGTTAAGTTTACTACGATAACTATGTATGTTCTAAATCGTAAGTTCGGATAGGCGAGTGGACCCACAAACTGTATAGATTCTGCAGGCAGTTTCGGCGGTATTGACATTTTTCATGGAAGTAGTAACGCATATAGCAGCAACAGTATCCGACAGCATTGTTCATGTTCATTACCAAAGGAAAATGCTTCAGTTCAATTAAAACCGTATCTCATTGGCAGATTGCCACACACAATGTCACCTGGGAACTACACTTCGATTGTTTATAAACGAAACAGACATAAGCGCATGCGAGTGCTTTCGCTAAACAACACTGAAGCTGCATAAACCTATTTGACGTCTAGCGCAACACCAGCATTTAGTTCTCTGCCGTAACCGTGAAACGTTCAAATATGATACCTGAGACGTGAACGACGTCGACGCGCGAGAGATTGAAGTAATTGGCGTAAATAGTCCACTCTGCAGTGGCCGACATCAGAATCAACTTCGGCACCACTTTGCCTTCGTTCTCCATTTTATCTGAGAGTGATTTCAGAAGGTACAGTAAGCAGTCAAGATCCTGGTGACGCTCGTGGATTTCATCAACGATGATATGTGTGAATGTCTCGAGATTCCTAGAATTAAAAAAAATATTTTCGATTACATTCGTGATAGGGCCATCCACAAACTTCGACAAACGTTTGTCTCTAAAAACCAACAAATAAATTGAGCTCGATTTCGTTTTATTCTCATGCTGAATTTGTTCTAAATAATCCGGTTGTGTAGAGCACAATTTCGGCTAAATGACTCTGCGGGTTTAGCTGGCAGTAAAGGGCGTGCGTATCGAACTTTGGTCTAAAAAAACCCGGTTGACATCATTTGCCTAAAGACTACACCTAAGTGTCAACGTCTTCGGAGAGAAGTGGATTTTTTAGTGCTACCCTTAAATTGTCTAAGTTCTCTAAGTGCCACAATTATGTTTGTTCTACGATTCCTCACGCGCAACTTGTTCGTTCACCATGAAATATCCCATAACCGAAACCAACGACCGCTCTCGTGCGATCGAGTGGTACGACGGTAAGAGTAGATGTCGCCGTTTGCGAACGGACGGTTTAAACAAAAACAGACTCGTAGAATACCGAGTCATTTCATATGACATATTGAATGATTGGCTAATAGTTTACACTAGTACGACTGCACAGTTTTGTCCTCGTCGTTATCTTATTTATTTTTGCTAAAGTTCACGGAAATGTTCCATGTCGCAGTTTTAGATGCTGACCACGACAAAGTAATTTGCTATGGTTTATGAGAAAAAGACACTAAATATACCTCTACGGCGACCTATCTTGGGACAGTTAGGTGGAAGAATTCTTCCGACTATGTATTGCGGTTGAGTTCACATGATGATTACGGGTCTGATTATGCTTAAAAAATGGATGCAAGCATCACCCTTCACTGTGCTAATTTTATTTCTCGCTTCATAGTATTAGGGAGTCAGAAAAATGATACTGCATTTATTATGAAATTATAGCTTTCCAAGTATAGTCCGGTAAATAAGGCAATTGCGGGAACTTTCAAATATTCAGAAAAGACAAGTTTTCGCGCCATAAGGTGTGCTTAATTTTATATGAAAAGACCTATCTGCCGAGGTCAAGGCTACTGTTTTCACTCGAAGTCGGTATCTGCAGCATTGCCTACGAAGTATCGGTTAATATCAATTTCTAGCCGACAAAGCTTACCCAGAAATTGTTCAATCACATGAGGAAGCTGACCGATTAGCTGCAAAGGTTCATGAACCTCTCGAACACACATGGTATCAGGCGGCTCCAATTAACTGCATGTAGACTAAGCGACTTAGCAAATTTTGAAACAGCTGAACAAACGTCCAAACGTAATATTTTACTTGAATTTTGTGCTGTACAAGGCCTTGCAACATTCGTAACAGGAAGAACCTGCTATGGCCAAAGGACTGCTTTCATACTAGGTGTATTGTGTTGTGTAACAAGTACCGTGTGTAACAAGTAACGTGGTCCCCAAAAATGAAGCCACTGGATTGCAGAAGGATCCCAGTAAAGGACTCTAAGTGCAATTTGTCAAGCTGATAAGATATTGACCACATACTATATAAAGAGAAGATTGGAACCCTTAAGAGACATACCTTATAATTAACATAACCTGGCAAAGATAACAAAGGAGTGGACTTGCCACTCCAGAGGGAGCTCGTCAGAATGTTTTACTCGATGTTGTCTGCCCGCCCATCGTATAGCCGCATCCAAGAAAATTACAGTCGAAAATAGCCAATACGCTAGGTAAACTACCGTTTATTGAAGAGAAAAGATTTGGGCTGTCAGTATGCACCCCACCTTTGTGGGTTTTTGGAAGATCGCTCGATGTACCAGAAACACTTAGGAAAGCTGCCATGTGCTCTGTTCACAAAAAAAGTTCAAGGAAAGACAGAAACAACTTAAAAGTATTTAGCTAACAATGAAATCGCTATGCGTTACCGTTGAATTTTGTCGATCGAAAATGTGTTCGAAGAAGGGTAAGAAGCTAAAATAAAATTTTTCAATACATAATATTTCTTTGATTTTGTACGAAAAAAGTAAGTTTGGACTACTGGTAAGGTATTCCGCATGTACGAGTCCGCTGTAGTTATTGAACACACAATTAAAAAATGGTCTACTGGTTTTTTTTTTGTTTGTTGTACATCGATTTTGAGCTGTACATCCAGCTAGAGCCCAGACGACTTGTACTAATCTCTATGAAGTTGTCTATCGCTAGAAACTTGTGTTGACGGAAAATGAAAAAATAAACGCCGGTATAAGAACTCACCGCCTCAAATAGAAAATCAAAGCAGGTTGCAGGGCTTTACGTTAACTCTGTTCAGGGAATTTCTGAACTTTTGCGTTATACGTGGAAAGCAATGTCAGCTGAATGACCTTCAAGAGCCGCTTGCATGGGTCGATTCTGTCCCCGTAATTGTGACTCACGGCTTTGCATAGCTCAGCATCAATTTCAATCACTTTATGAATATGGTATTTCATATAACGAACTGTTGTCGACGTTGTTTGTCGAGTAGAACCAAATAAGTTGGGTGGCCACGATGCCACCGTTGCGCATTGAGATCAGCCATCTGTGAACATGATTCCAAGTAAATTATTTTCCAGGCCCTCTGGAAAGTGTCCCCATTTAGGTAAAGTTAAAAATGTCACATTGAGGTTGCTGGATCGACATATGCTACGTACCGTGGCGATGTTGTAATACCCTGGCTCCTGATCCAGTCAGCGAACGAGCCAGTTTTTTTAATTCCTTAATCAATCCGCTTAGTTGTGACCTTGATCAAAATGACAAGGTAAATATTTTACGAAAGGCAGCGCTTCCCAGGTAGCTGTGCATTATCGCTTTTTTATTTCTCGCCATCTCTTAATAAAACATTTACGCGGTATATTTCATGATCGGGACAGTATGACCAAATTAAGGTTGCTTCCGCATAACGAGATTATCGCTATGGCCAGGACTGTAGGTTGCAAAAAGTAGGACCAATGAAAAACAATTTCCACAAAAAGACGATAGAATAAATAAGAAAAATTAGAAACAGCTTTTTAACGGGATACGGGTCGTCTGCACACATGTTGTATTATTTTAAGAACACACTAGGCTTTGGGCGAAACATTTTGTCTCATCTACCATCTAGCCCCAAACTTGCTCCGTGAGACTACTGTCTGTTTTCTTCCATATGTACTAAAATACAAACTGTTCGGCAAATTTTTAGTGGACCGTTTATCGCAGCGGACAGGCGTTAATCCGCTGTTTCCGTTTTTAGTCTAGCAACATTATAATCTTATGCAATTTGCAATCTATACCGTTGCCGATAATTATACGATTTTCGAAAAACTTTTCTGGTTTTCTGGGCGGAAAATTGTGTCTCGTCAAAAATATGTGAAAATTACCACGAAAAGTTTTCCGAAGATTTAAAAAAAGAACGTTCCATTATAAACCATATTCAAAAGAACGGAGCTTAGGAGTTAAAACTGTTAGACGATACTATGAACTAACTCAGTCTGACTGCTTAAATACTTAAGTCGAGACGACCCGTTGTCTAAACCTAAAATTGACATTAAATGTAATTCAGATCCTCGTAAGATGATACAACTGATATATAACTGCATGAATTATCTGACGTTTATGTCTGTCGTAGTTTTTATGAGAGTATGCTCTTACTATCACAAGGTATATTCGTTGAACGCCTCCAGAAATGCCATCGTAGGAAGGGCTACTTGGTAACATGATGTCAATACGGGCTTATACATAGCACAATTATGAATAACAGAAAAATAGAGACAGTAGCACCCTCATGACAAAGGTTTCAATTTCAACTCTCTACCCGAAACATTACTCTATTATCCAAATATGTAAGATATATTTATAAAAAAATATTAACAAATAAAAAAAATATGTATATATATATATAGTTCCTCATATTTTGTACGAAGCAACGCTGAGTCATCCATTGACCGTAGCTCTAGAAAGAGTGAACTTTAACGTACACAAATTCAACACAACCTTTTTTTATGAAGCAATTACACCTATAAAAGGCATCACCAACGATTGCGCCGTATACATGTATAGGGAAAAAGCCGATCGCGAAAGCAACCTTTAGGCACGAACCAGTGACAAACGATACAGATAACAGCTTCTGGAGGAAGTTAATCGAATCTCCGTAAACCGGCAAAAACTGAGCAACCCCCAGGCCACTTTTGTCTGTAAATGTCAGCAGATGCCTGATTTCTGTGTACAGTCCTATTTCGTGCTCGATAGTGAGATAAACTTCTCGAGCTTTAATCGAAAAGCAGAAGCTTCTCGATTAAAGCTAATAATAAAAGCCAAAGAATTCAGTAGTGAGTGCAACTGCACCCAAACCTCGTTACTAAAATGGTTTCGCTTGTAATAAATATAATAACAAATAAACAATCATAACATAGTCAAAAGCCTCGTTTAGCTCAACAGGATTATTAAATCTGGCTGTCAAACAGATCTTTTCAATGCATGTTTAGGCGCTAACGTCGTGTCAAGTGAATAGTACAAACACAAGAGTATTTATGGCTCAGCATTCTCAGTCCCCTTCAATGATCTAAGTGCCCCTAAACGAACGTAACCTCTTATGGTCTATAAGATAAATGTAGCCTACGGCTAGAACTATAATAATATGTCTTTGATCAACTAATAGCATTTCCTTGCCAAAATGTTTCTGTATGGTAATAGCATGGTGTAAAAGCCTGTTGGAAAAAGCAAATGAGCGGGTCTTTTTTGGACATTTTGAGTACGTTGTGTTTGTTATCGTATGAATGTACGTGGTTAAATAATTCCTCGAAAAATATGCACACAAAGTTCGCTCCCTCATAATAAACAGCTCGGATAAACACATACCTATTCCTGAGTCAATACTTTTTGTTGTTGTCTTTATACAAGCTAACATCTCTTAGCGCCGGCACCTTCCTAATAATCAAAAATGTCTGTACCACAATCTCGACGAGTTCAGAATATGCACAACAATATCCACACTGGTTAAAGCTGAACTAAATTACTTAATCAATTTAAAAACATCTATGAATTTCAGCCGGGGACCGAATCTAAAGTTTCATGGTTTGAATCCGATGTCCACGTTTCTGCTCACCGCGACATAAATTCCTCGCATATCTCATCGTTCGTGCTGCCAAGCATGTAAGAAACACGTGCGTGAGAACGCACAGCGATGGAGAGCTCTAGAGAAAATAATCATTAGCGTTTGTGATGGTTCGGCACTTTATTTTGCCTATTTATGTGAGCCAGTATACCAAGACAAGTATCTATCTCAAAAATAAAAAAAAAACAGTATTTGCCAATATTCAAGATTATTTGTTACGTAAGAGATGAACCCGTGTGAACGCATTTGAACAAGAGGTTGACATTTGCTAGGAACCACTTCTTCGACAGGCGCGTTGACAATAAAGTAATTATTTATGACGTATTTTCGTTTTCATTCTGAATTTCCATAGCAAAATGAAAGCGTAGCGTTTTTTCGAACAAATATAGTTCAACATTCAACCAAAGTTTTTGGACAGTAGAACGTTTTGTAATGTTTTATCAACACTGGTCAATATAGAGCTATGGGAGAAGTCACGAAAATGAGCATTGCATTTTTATCACATCTTATATTATAAAAAAGTCGGAAAAATCTACTTTCTGGTACTGCGTTTCTCTCTGGCGTTTCTGGCGTAACAATAAATGGCATTCATCTGACTCAAAATATATGATGTATAAGCTGTATTTTCATTTTATGTACCTCACTTGGCCGAAAGGTAACAAACATTCCATGATAGACCGAATTGTCACGATTATACTGCCCGACGGCTATCAAATCTACAATTAAGCTGCTGCTCAAGTAATCAAACGTTTTTCAAAGTTCAATTCTATTATATTATGTATTCGTCGTAAACCTGTAAAACCTTTTCCAATCTTTCAAATAATCTATTTAACCTGTTTCGCCTATGGTTTCACAAGTTCTTATCCAGCAAATTTTAAAGATTCTCTGAGTTATTAAATGTACGAATGTTACGATTTTCACTGGCTTCCGGTTGGAAAATATGGTACTCTGCTGAAATGGAGCGTGAAGAAGACGGTGGATGCAAAAGGACTTTGTTCACCTTCACGCAGAACGACTTTAGCGATTGTCACCGTACACAGTCTAGCATTGTTGTGAACAAAAATGATTTTCCTTCGCCCATTAATTTTTTTCTATTGGATCATCTTATTCACTCACTTGAACTAAGCCGCGTTCAGATCCTTGTTAACTGCTTTGTTCTTGTCAAGCATTTCTCAGTGTACGAGTACCTTCGAACGTAGGTCACGGAAATGTACTTTAATTCCGGACTTTGGAGATCTGTTTATCTCCCTAAACTACTTATTCTTTTTTGTATTTCACATTGAAGTAAAGGTGCCAGTTCTGATCACCCGTAACAATTTGATGTAGAAACCTGTCATTCTTCCTTTTGTGTTACTAAGTCTTTTGATGACCATCTTCCTCCAAATGTACCCTCAGGTGGTTCTTAACATCGGATTGCGTTATCGGTAGAACTCGCATCTTCCAATTCTAACATGCCGTACTAGATTTTGCAAACATTCTTAAGCAGTTTTGTTAAAAATGGAGTCTACCTGGCACGCGACCCACAGGCTGTTTCACCAGCTTTTTAATCTTCAGTTAGAAGGGGTATCAAGTATCGTACTTTTTTTCTTTACCATAAATATTCATAGCTAAAGCTTGAAGTTTAAATTCTGATTACTACACAATGACTTCACAGCGAAACGAAGAGCACTTTTAATGATATATAGAAACAAAAAATAGAGGAATAGAAACATCGGAAAAACACGATTACTTAAGAACCAACCTGATAATAAGAACAATAATAATGCTGTCAACTTCTTTTTCACAACTTACTAGCTCTTAACTAGTAAAACGAGGACTATGTAAATGGAGAGAAGCCTAGATGATTTTTTTTAAACAATAATTTGCAGCGTAGGTGTGTAGTATTGCTAATCCTCCTCCTATAGAGGGCTCGACCCATTTCCGAAGTCCTATTTCAAGAGTGTACTAAAGATTTCGAACGACCACTGCGGCTGAAGTAGCAGAATCGCTAGACAATACGGATTACCAGACGCAGTTTAATAAATCTGCCAACCATTACGGTGCGGAAATAGTCCGGAAAATGACAAAGAGGAAAGAAGCAGGACCCAATGGCTTGACAACTAACTTGTACATGGACCAGGCCAAACTAATGCTGATAAGCACTAGAATGCACACATAGGCACGTGTGAGTGTTCTAGTGTTTATCTAGAACCTAGATGAGGCATCACGTCTTATCTATAACGAGAAAGAAAATAGTGCACAGTCTAATAATATCATAAAGTAAATCTCACGGGTTATTTCTTCGAGTGCTTATTGCTAGTGTATAATGTTGTTACCAGCATACAAATACATTGTAAATTCAATATGAACAGGCACACGAATTCCGGTCGAATTGGTAGATGCATTCAGTGCTTACTAAAGTTTATTGTAAACAAACTGGATCTCCGGCTGATATGTCCAGCATTAGTCAATAGTTTACTATGCCGATAATAAATAATGATATGCATTTTTACAGAAACTTGAAAAAGCTATCTACAGTACCATATATCAGTGCCACCTTTCGCATTCAGTCGCTTTGTGAAAGGATTGCTTGTAAAGGAGATTGTAAAGCCAAGGAGCATACGCACTTATATATGCAAATTCTTCCTCCGCAATTTCGAAATACACAGACTAGCTCCGGACAATGCATGGCAGCAGCATTGGCCCGAAGCTAAGATAAGAGGCGTTGCTTCTAAAGCAGTTTCATGAAATTCTGATAAAGTGGCCAGACAGCAAACTAACTTCCTATTCTGAATGAGATCGCTATTTCAAATGTAAGGCTGAGCACCTGGAGATATTGTAACAGTGCTCTCGAATTTTAGGAATTCGTGATAGCTACAAAACAAAAAACTTCAAGTTGACAAATGAAAAATTATTAGGTCAATAGAAGCCCAAATGTTGAATAAATCAACGTTTTGAAAACAACTATTAGGTTGGAAAGAGGTCTTCTTGTTTTTTAAAACGCCCCTTTTTTAAAACATCTCACAGCCAGTGGAAAAGGTGATTCTTATTGCTTCAACTTGCTGTAATGGTATTATATTGTAAGTGTAATTTAAACTCAAAAGTGCTTCTCAGAAACGGATATTCCACGTTGAAAAAGCGCGGGAGCACAACCTTCTGCTCTCTGCATTTCATTGAGGCCAAAACGCGTTAAAAGAGCCCGAGACATTTATGTACGGTAAACGTCAATAAAAGAAATGCTCAAGAGTAGTTCGTAAAATTTAAAAATGGTGTCCGAGATCCAAAGGACACTGCCCGTTAAGGCCGACAGCCTAAATTTGACAACAATCACCTGAAGGCATTTTCTGAAGGGACAAATAGCTCGGGAATCGGCCGTAAATAGCTAACCTTCTGTTCCTTATGTTTACACAGGAACTTTGGGAAGTTTGGGTATCCTATGAACTTCTGAATCCAAGAATTTACAGCTGCATCTCAGCATTGACCACGCATATCGAGTGTCACGCAGCCATAATAGCAGATTTTTGCACAAAATTTTCACCACCAGTGAGAAGTGACATCTTGCGTCAGCATGAATCACGGATCAGAATGAATGGCTTCAGGTACCAAACGAAAGCCTATGGACCAACCAGACCTTTATCCAAAAGCGTTGTTTTGCGTTTGGTGGCACTGTAAAGGCCTGATTCACAGAGAATTGATTGCTACGAATTAGGTAGTTAATCGGTACATTTACTCGATCCAGTTGGATCGAGTCAATTATTCTATTAAGAGAAAGGACATAGTAAAAGAGGTAACAACATGAGAGCATATATGACCAAATTTTAAATGCGAGGCTTTGTGGTACCTTCCCAAATCTTGTGTCAACATATTTTTACCTTTCCCATTCAGTGGACAGTCAGTCAACTTTGTAGTTTTATCCCAGACACAGATCAAAAACTTAAAACGTTGTTGGAAAACCTATCCAAGCCGAAACCCGCTACCTTGTGGGAAGCCTAAGAATGTCGTGAATAATGACGGGACATACATAACAAAATAACTTACTGTGATATCTTCTGCTAAAAATACTAGACGGTATTGCAATGTGGATTATGAAATTCTAGAATTCATGAATCGGAATTTTGTGACAATCGTACGGTCGACACTAGATTTATTGAAAAATAGGATTTGAATAACAAAAAAGAAAAGTGGTACCTTTTGTGAACTTGCACTAATTGCTATACCCAGAAGACAGACGTAGATGTAAATATACTAATTATAAATCAATTTCAACACACTTTATATTTTACATATTTTAATAATATGACGATGTTCGCAAAAATATATATAATTCTAATGTAAATATGTTTCTGAATGCAAATAAAATGTGTTTTATTAAAGATGAACTGAAGCTACAAACGCCCATTAGCGCAACGTGATCGGAAATTCCTAACTAAAAAGCACTACGTACCCTTTATGAATAATCTTCTCTACGAGGACATTTGTTGTCATATATTGGATGCAGCTATCCTCCGAAATGAAGCGGTCCATCCCCACCTATTGAATATAATATGAGTGAATGTTAATGCTCTATTGTATTTTAACAATATACAGGTCCTCTGTAAAATGGAGCAGTAGTTCGAGTATATTGCTTCTAAGCACGATTCCTGTTTATCTGTAGTAATAAATCTGTATAATGTACAATATTGTGTGTAGCCACTATTCGTAGTGTTTGAAGAAAGGTATTTCTTCATCAAACAAAAGCAGAAGCTCATTGTGTAAATAACCAGTTATTATTTAATGTGTTCAAAGTGGGCAAACCTTCATCGAAGTGAAACTTTCTTCTAGAAAGATGAAAGGCACATTTGACGTAAGAACTCGACAATTGACAATAAAAATGAAACTGCGCATCCTTGACAATCTTGGCGATTTATAAAAAGGCTCGAATCGTTCACGAAGACGTCGGTACAAACCTTATACCATAGAAGTCAGGCAGAAGGTCTCTAAGGATAACAAAGGCAACTAATTTTATACTTGTTATTTGTCTTTAGGCTCTCGGATGGAACAGCACTCTGTCTTTGATCCTTTTGGGGGCGAGTATTCATCGCGAATGCAAAAAATCAATCGTAGGAACAACGGGCGGCTTGCCCGCTATTCATAATATGTGTCCATTACTGGTAAAATTAATTTTAGGGCGCTCATATTTTAAGTGCCGTGTCCAGCCAAGCAGGCATCATGCCGCCATGTTTTTTCACAAAAATTTGTTACCGATAAACCTTATTGGTATATTTTGGAAACTGTAGTAGGGCTGTGGACGGTTATCTCGTCGAATGGTGAGCTACATTTCTTTCAGCCAAATTCTTTTAGAACCTGTTTACAAGAAAATCCTAATGCAAAATCAGTAGGCTAAAGATGTGAGTATGTTTTCTGTTATACGTTCAAATCTGTTAGATAACTATGCAGAGGGGAAAAGTTTAACATATTTTAATGTGAGAACACCGACGCACGAACTATCGCTGTTATGAAAGCTTTATATATACATGTAAAACAATATTTATGTATAGACTCGTGAGTAGTCTAACCACATTTGTTTCGTCCCAAATTGTCGCAAACATCCTACATATAAGGTGAGACTATGATTAGTGCTTCCGAAGCAATCCTAATTACAAGAGCGCAATTTAAAGACCAATTGTCCGAAAGAGTCTTGAAACGGCCCGCAGCTGACTAACGTATTATGTTCGTTCAAAATGCCAGTAAGAAAACCTTTATTTAAACTCTAAAAACACCTCACCATCTGGAGTACCTTATGTATTTAAGACTTCACTGGAGGACATAGAAGGAGTATGCCGAAACAACAGTTTCGTCTACTCATCACCATGAAAGGTCCTGCCCCTTTCCCGTTTGGGCCATTCACACTCGCATAAGACAACTTCGAGTGAATTTTGAACGAAAGCGGCCCGAACTCGTGGCTGGAAAAAAAAGACCGACTCGCTAGGCGCCTGCATGTGTTTTAATTGCAAGAGCAAGGGTAATTAAGGCCATAGTGCCTAAGCTGAGTGTAGCACGTTTCGATTACATAATCGACGTGGTCGATGACTTGTTACTACTAAAGGTTATTTTGCCCTTGACAATACTCTATTCAGGGGTTTACAATGAGACCCTTGAAGCTCGCGTGCCTCTATGATGCCCAATGCTTTGTTGGCCGTTTTAGGCATAGTCAATAAAAAGCTGCAAGGAAAGTCCTTAATTACCACTAACCTCGCAAAGGATAGGATCCTGGGCAAAGTATTACTGGCAAAAAAGGATCCAATTTGTAAAAAAAAAAGCAGTTTAATTCTTGCACAGCCATTAAGGCATATATTTCACCGTAGGGACAGCTATGCATATGACAGTCCGGACAACAAATCCAAGTACTGTGCTACAGCATGATCGGGTTGCAAAATACTCTCGTTGAGGGCATATGTTCGTTCCACACAGCCTTGCACGCATGAATACACTAAGCGTTTATCAAACGTTTGGTCACCGTTAGTTCACTACTTTAGAGCTGCTCAACGTGATAGACTTCATTTCTGGAGGCCGACTATGTACACACATATACATATATATGTACTAGATTGTCAAAGAAGTAATGGCAGTTTTTCTCAAAGTCACATACCTTAAATGCGACATGAATCGCATCTAGCAGAATTTTTTGTAATGCCTTCATTTAAAATTCAAACAAAACATTTCGAAGATAGGTGAGATTTATGCAAAAGAAATGCTATACCTAACAATTTGATTACGATAGAGGCCCAAATGCTGACCAAATCTATGAAAGAATTGTGTTGTTGACGGTTAAGACGCGCTGTGGGAAACAGCGACCCAAAAATGCTTCTGATCATAATGAAATCACATGAGATAAAAATGTTAGGATTGGAAATGGATCGTCGATTATAAACTACTGTCGGCTCGCAAAATGATTGACTCGGACCTTTGCTGTCAACAGCTAACAAAATTGCAATAATCATCGAAAATCAGCCTAAACTAGTCAAACAGAGCCAAACAGAAAAGACGCCGTCTTTAATCAGAAAATGCCGGACCAGATGCATACCGTCACAAGCCAAAGACAAAAAGAACTAGTGCAATCTTATACTCGGACTACGCACCGGCTGTTTGATCTGCAGAGCCTCTTAATGGTATCAATTGAAACATAAGGGAGTCTTTCACTTCCCCCTCAGGAAAGCGGTTTAGATTTAGAAATTTAATTCTCTATATACATTCTTAGCCGTTAAGGATACAATACCGATACTCAATGAATAATAATATTTATGCCGATAATTTGAACTTTTGTGCAGTAAAAACTAGCTGATTATATCTGTCTGTAAATGCCTAAATCTTGTCATTTTTATGTTTGCAAAAATCCCCATATTATATATTTAGTACATACAGACCATGCGCACTATTCGGGTCTATTAAACCACGATTTCGTCGGATCTAGATTTCAATCAGCAGATTACCGGAGTTATCTAAGCATAATTTTGTTCGTTTATTGTGAAAAATCCCGAATTGTAAATAAACCTTTATTGAGTTAGCTATTACTAATTTCACATACTGTTGTGAACTGCTACGACAATATATCAAAATACTAGTAATACTATATTAAGCATCTACAGTCGAAATAAAAAATATATTTCTTAGCTATGGAGAACAAAGAGTTATTTATCTAGTGTCGATTGCAATTTACATAAAGATTCTGGTATACGATTTAAAACGAGCAGCGTAATAATGATTTACGAATGATTAAGTGGTCTCATCTGTAGCAATAGCCAAAGGGGTAGTAATTAACAGGTTGTATTACCAACAACTCGTATTGCTAATAAACTGCGATGTTATATTTAATATTAATTGATATATTAAATTGGTGAGTAAATTATTTAGATAATTTTTAACCTTAAAGAAGTTAGCTCCATATTCTGTTTGCCCATATATTTTGAAGCTTTTTAGGCTCTATCTTTGCTACGCGTCCCCTGTAACGTTTATATTTTGCCTGGCTTTCTTGGTTATAGTTTTCTGTGCGCCTAAGTCCTGGGACCCAAAAACTTCCTATTGCACAATCCATTTTCATAATTTTCGTAAAAATGTGATTGAGACAACGACGGTTGTGTGCGAGATTAGGTAAAAATGGCCAATATTTTGCGGTATTTGCCAAAATTAGTTTCAGCACTTCAGAGCTAAAATTCCTGATTTGTACCACAAATCGATTCGTTCCGATTAATTGCCAGGAAAAGACGGCAACTGTCTACAGGCAATATTACTTGAAAATTCAATGAGTGACCTTAAAAGCGCTTTGCACTGTTTAGTGTTTACTGTCGTACGTTTTAAACCGTTTGCACGTATTGCGAAAAATCCTAGAAACAGAAAAATTGATTCTACACGAACCCAGCAGAATTGCCAATTTTAACTCTTTGCAACATATGTATCCCGTCGCTCACATAGCAAAGCCAAGGGTAATTCTTACAAATGGGTAGCTACCAGGGATAAAGGAGTACCTTATAACAGTGTGGATTTTCTGGAAAATACTGACAGATGAACTGTTTACGTATAATAAGGACGAATGCAGACCGTGACCCAATTAGAGTTGCCAAACTCGAAAAACGGTTTGATAAAGACGGACCTTGGAACAGACCAATCAATGATGGCGTAAAGCGGTCTTGTCATATGGTTTGTTATGGCTTCGGTGGCCCAAGAAGAAGCAATGAGAGGCTACGGTTAGGAAATTTCGTTAGTCCCGGCTTATAACCCAAACGCAATGCTATCGGATTTTATGTGTTAAGATCTATACTGTGTGGCCCAAAGGACAAGCAAGACATGAGTAAAGGCCCGAAAATGGGTTTATGAGTAGATCATTCTACACATCCCTCTTTTTTTGACTAAGAATTCGTCTTCTGTTGAGTACAGGAAGATTACGTATAACTAAAGAAATGCTTTTCGTATGGAAATTTTTTCTAACTGGGATCAGCATTTAAAGTGAGCAGAAAGACACACTTTTCTGACCCACCTAATATGCCTCAGTACACAAAATGGACTTTACAAGATGATTTTATGACTTTGCTTTATGAACTTTAATGAACAAGAAACTACGGGTACAGTCTTTGGGATATGGATGTCACCCACAGAGTATTCCACTGGAGGTTAAGATGCTTTTTTTCGCACACTTTATTCGACCTACATAAATGATGCAACTCAATGCAATTTATGCAGTTGCCTCTATGAATAAACCACCTTCACGATTTTTTGTTTTTGGCCATACGCTAATGATCTACACCAACGAATAGTCTTCGCGACCAGCCCCTCTTCTGTGGGGTACTAGTTAGCATATGCGCCGCTTTTTCTCTTATACAAAAAGATTCTGAAACATCCAAACTGTTCGGTACGTCGGCAACTTTACGTATAAGGTCTAAAATTACACAAAACCATTTTAGGTGGTATTTTGGAACGTTATCCACCTGTGCAAACTTTCGAATATCTTTTTTTTGATTTGTCTATAAACATTGGGCCTCACGTATACATGGTTGCCACGGTCTCATATATGTCAAACCTACGATGCTTGAAATACTCCAGTGTTAAAACGGATAACATATTCAAATTCAAGCCAATTCGTTTCTTCTACCCAGTTTAGCACGTGCAATGAAAACGCTCGACATATTTTATTAGAAACAGTGATCTAATTGATAGCGATAATTTAGGCGAAATGATGTCATGAAGACTTCCTTTCCTATAGGCTCTTACCTGATATCCACAGATCGTCCCACATTTCCAGTGACGTTCCCTGCATACAGTCTCGGCTACACTGATGGCAGCAATTCTTCGTGGTTGTGTCACGGCGATACGACAAAACTGACCTTGCCTGAAGAGCTTCTCCTCCAGCATTAGTTGTGGAACCTGTATAAATAGGTACATTCGTAAATCGCGATGCAGAGACGATAACCGCTCCCGTTAAAATGTTAAATCACACTTACGGTGGGACAAAATATTAAGTATAGGGACCTGCGTGATCTAAGTGACCGAAGCGCACCTGTTTGAATGTGTAGCCATGATAACCGTATATAATAAAAACGAACCATATTTCAGCGTTAGCAAATGGCTATCAAGGTATATGAATTTATACTCCGCTTCATAGGTTTGTTGGGGAAACCTCAGAGAAGTCCAGCAAGACCCATTTCGGCTAAACTACCTAATAAAGCTTCAACCTAGCCCTTTTTTAAACTTTCTAATCCTCTATACTACATAAAAGAGGTAAGTCCAAGGACTTGTTAACATGGAGTAAATAATTGTAATTGTTGAATAGAAGAAAAATAATGAGCATACTGGGTTTAAATAGCTTCCGAGGCCCTGGACGGGATTTCAACGGAAAACGAAACAAAAATACGTAAAAAAAAGTCATATATAAGATTTAGAGATATAAAATGTAAAGATGTAAAGATATTTGATACCAATTTATCCAGATCTTGGCTATTGAATTTACAAGCTTAGCCTTTAAAACCAAATCATGCGCAAGCACGAAAATTCGCAGGTTAAAATTTGAGTTGTAAAAGACCAACTTCTATCAAAATTATAATGAAGTCTCTTTTTGTATCCTTATTCCGTTCTGGTAGTGTTTACTTGCGTACTGCCCGCTTTCAAAGGTTCACAGTCCTCTATTATTCCTTCGAGACCGATGACAGATATAAGCTTTCAGAAATAGTTTTTCTGTAAAGTTCTCTAAAGAATTTAAAGATTCAAAGAAACGCACAAAATCTAGCTATCTTTGGTAATCTGTATTTAATTTTAAACTTATCCCTTGAGTGTCAATGTATATGCTTTGCTTGTATAAGTTACATTAATTAGTGATTCAAACTAATACCGGGTAATTTTAACAACTCTACATTTCTTCGAATTCTTTAATCCGCTCTTTACTTAAAAATGTTCATATTTGCATTCCCAGACGATTCCACTCTCAATAGTACTGGTCATTGTGTCCTATTGTTTATAGTTAGTAAGACTTAGCTAAGCATTACGTTTTTTTGAAATAAGAGATTAAAGCCCCAACTGTGGGAGATGTAAATTTACTTTAATCAAATTCCTGCCCGAATTTTGATTCACCCTAAACTTTAGCATTACCTACATAAATTTATCTTATTAGATTAACTTCTTAGTAATGATACATCAATATTTATAAAAAATACTGTTAAGCCTGTGCCAAATACATACTCTATGAGCGTTCATACATGCATATTTGATGTACGTAATTAGTATATAGGTTTTACACTCTGCTAGTATGACACTATAATATCCAATGTTGTCCATCACTAAATTATATAATTCAACCTAGCTTTGTGCAACGATTCCTTTTCCACAAGAGTTCATTTATCGTTGACATGCCCAACGGCACTGAACCGGTTACACCAACTTGATCGAACGATGTATTACACAGTCGAAAGGAAAAACATCTAAACTTCAAAATTTGCCTGCTTCTTAAACTTTCGTGACAAGTTCTGCAGTTGCAGAAGTTCTGCCAGCACCATTTGCTTAGAGCGTTGGAAGGAAATAATAAAAAGATCGGCCCCTATTACACCCTGATATCTTGACTGGCAAGCCGTACGTTTTTGTAACGGAAGTGTTAGTGAAATGACGTGTCGTTGTGCACTTCTGTCGTTCTTCCAATATAAGCTATCCGACACAATAACTTTTTATAGCTGATCTCCAGCCATTGGTTTCACGAAAAGCGTTGGGTGTGGCTTCAAAATGCTGTTCTAGGTACTGCCATAATGCTGACAATGTGTGGGAAAGTTGTTAAATCGAAGAAGTTAGTAGTAGAGGTAGAAAAAGATAATTTCGAACTACCCTATCAAATCGTCACAAACAAGCTAAAAGAAATATCCCCTCACATACAGCTCTATAAAGGTAGCCCTGGCGGCCAACCATTATTTTTCCAAGGCAGTTTCCTGAGCAAATTACGCAAATTTGAATCGGTAAAAATAACGTCCCTATGATCACTGTGTAGCAAATGAAAAGCAACGTAACAACTAGCAATAGACAAAGCACCGTGTCCGGACGGAGTCTCTTGGGACTGTTGGCTGAAAAATGCCTAAGAATTTTTAGAAGTCTCGCAACTCAACTTCTTAGAAAAGGACAGTTTCCTAGGATTTGAAAAGAGGAGAAGTTAACGCTGGTCTCCAAGCCGAGAAATAAAACCAGACCAGCGATACACCAGCCGATTTTTTTGCTGAATAGGATGGTGAGGATAATGGAAAATATTATTTTTCATCAATGTCATAGACAGATTAGAAAAAAAATAGAATAAAAGGGGACTTTATAGGACTGTACGAGTTTTGCAGAAACAGATTCACTTTCGAAGCAGTCCAAGAGATATCATCAAGGCGTATCACGAACGGGTAGAAAAAAATTTCAGGAAAAAAAAATTGTCAGAAATGACGAAATTGCCCATGGCTAATTTTTATATGTCAGAAATACCTTTTGACAAATTATCGTAATGGCATTAAAAAAGGAGAAGATATCTTCTTACCAGACGGAGTCGCATACGTGGCACACGCAGATGACCCGGCGCTGCTAGTGAGGACGAGAACTGAATCGAGATTGGAGGACAAGTCGAACGGACATTGTTCTATCCGTTCAACGGGCAGTTGCTATCGGGGTAATTAGGACCTATCGAACAGTATGTACGAATGCTGTTCTCATCCTGGTTAGGATGATCTCTTAGAGTACTCTGGCAGACGAGAGGACTGAGCGATATGTAGACGGAGGTATATACTTCCAGAGCGCCTTGCAGAGAAAATAACAATGACCATGCGAGCGGATTGGACCACGGGCACGCTATAAGACCCGTAGTTTTATACTTGACATGAATAAGTGGTTTAATAAACCATATGAAGTAATCTAGGTGCCTACTAACCATGGGAAATTTCGAATGATCATGAAGAAAATCAATAGGAACTAGGTCATTATTTGCGTCTAATAAGATTGTCTGCTGAACGACTCGGAGCATACGATTTTTAGATGCGGAGTTTTCCAAGATATGAGGCGCTAAATGGGGTGTGGCCACATGTGAAGACAAATAAAAATATTACCGACGACAACGATTCATGGATCGTTTGAGTGGCTTTCCTTGAAAACATAATGAGAAAGTATAGCTAAAAAAATCCAAAGGTTAAAAGTCGACGAAAAAGGGCGCCAAAAAATACAAAGAGAGGCACAAGCATTTTAGTTTGAGAAACCACCGTTCTCATGGATCCGAAATAATACTAAACGTCTAACGATCCATGTGCATGCGCATAGTGGAAGTACAAAATTTTTTGGTAAACCCTGGGTAACCATTATGGATGAATTAAACCACTTGGTAAGAAGGCAAGCTACATTTGTTTTGAATTTGACATAGCAGAGGAAAGCTTTGAAGCGGAACTGTCAGCAGTCTCCCTTCCGTCTATATGTGTCTAAAAAGCATTTTTTCCCACTTAAAAAAGTACTATTAAAGTAAGGGCTCAATAACAGCAATCTTGAGAGGCCGATTAAGAGAAAGTGTTATGGGTAGGGATTATGGTAAATGACAATTTCCTAACAAAGATGGCAAATAGCAAATTTGTCTGCAAAAATTTTAACATGAATCTCGAAATACTGTAGTGAAAGTGAAATACTGTACGAATTAGTAACCTCGAAAACCCTTCGCGTCAGCAAGAGAGTTTGCATCCGTACAAGCTGTGCCTTTCAAAGTTCAGTCTAGTTGTCTGGTTGGTTTTGTGATATAATAGTTGCCTTTGCATCTGTAGATATCTATGTATAAAATTACTAACGCAGCCGAGCCATGGAAAACACATTACTACATAGTCTTAATGGCATTTGGTGTCGTTGCTGTTTTTCTGTCCCCAATTAGATCATTGATTATCTGTCTACGCGACAGAAATTTAAATTTATACTACTTTAATATCACGCAGCAACTCAAAGTTGTGCGGGTAATTCGATTTTGGCCGCTGAATAAAGTGAATACTATTGTGACACTGCGAACTAGTTCCATAACCTAAAAAACGCTGCTTGTCTCACATAGCCAGGACAACGTATGGGTTTCGCGCAAAGGCCGATACGTTGCTCATTCACTCATTATATTTGTTGGAGGCAATGTTCCGTAGAAGCAAATGTTTCTATTATTCTTAATCTAAACTTAAAGTATCATTATGTATTCCTTGATGCTCATTGATTTTCTATGGACTACAGAATGTTCTTTTGAATGTTTTTTTCTTGTAAAAATAGCTAGTAGCATTTAGCTCCTTCTGACGCTCGAGAGTCGACATGGTCAGCAAAGAGATAACCCCCCAGCACTCTTGTCAGTAGTGGATTCAAGCAAGGATTTCCTTGAGCGCAATGATAATAGCTTTGATGTGCTTGATGTTAGTTTCGGCAAGCACAATCGTCCAGGATTGTTTTTTCCACCATTGCCAGTCTTCTTTTATTTTCTTCAACAGGGATGTGAATGTCATCGTAGTTCCATACACTTCTAATTGCTCTATTGTGAACACGCTCGACCAGTCGTTATTCAGATATGTCACTATCTGTTCATTGGTACGTTTTAGAATTGACACCAGTATTCTAAACTTGCCCTCAGCACAATCAATGAGTTCTAAAAGAATCTAAGTAACTTAAGAAGTTTCCTGTCAGAAATAGGTGCACCTGACGTTACCTAAAAGAATATATGATTCTATGAGAACCATTATGTTCGTTGATAAGGTGAACAAGTTTTCATGTAAACGAAATTCATTTAAAAGCCAGCTGATCGAAAGCGAATAGTGACATTCATATATGTGACTAGTATTTTAAATTTATTCTGTTTGGTTTGTTAGTGTTAGAAATAAAGACATTTGTGGTAAATTTGTAAGGTAAATAATTCCAAATGC